GTGTCATTAGTCGACCGGGCCCTGATTTTGACGGCCTACTATTTGTCGTCTGGAAGTCCCCCTGTTGTTGGGTACAGGAAGATGTCTGCCGCCCAAGGGATGGGTTCATTTTGGAGGAACTGCCCTTCTTGCTGGTTGGTAGAAACGGCAGGGTGGGTTAGGCAGTCGAGGCGGATACCATGGCTGAGGTCGGACTGGTCTGCAGAAGCCAACTGAGCCATCTCATCCGCCTTAGAGTTTTCCACCCGAGGGACGTGCTTGATGCGGAAGGTATTGAAGAGGCAAACAAGGGGGAGTGCTATATCCCTATAAGCCCGCATTGTGTCTTCCTTGGCATGGAATTCCCCCGTAATTTGTCCGACAATGACCTGGGAGTCGCTAAATACCCAGATGTGGCTGACACCAATATCCCTGGCTAGGCGGAGACCTGCTATCAATGCCTCATACTCGGCCTCATTGTTACTAGCCTCGAATAAGAAACGGAGAGCACATTTGAAATAACCACCCTTAGGGGCGGTGAGGATAAGACCAGCCCCACTACCTTCCCTGCGGGATGATCCGTCGACGTTAAGAGTCCAAGAGTGAGGGTCTTCTGGGTCGGTAGGGGTTGGTGGGGGTGGTGGGGCCGTGGTTGGGGTAGGATTAGTGAATTCCAGGATGAAATCGGCGACAGCCTGCCCCTTAATCGTTGTTCGAAGTCGGTAGGAGATGTCAAATTAGTTGAGTTCCACTGACCACTGCATGAGTCTGCCGGAGAGTTTGGTTGCTGCATTACCTTCTTCAAGGGTTGGTTGGTGAGGACCACTACGGAATGGGCTTGGAAGTAAGAACGGAGTCGTCTGGGGGCGGTGACCAAGGCCAAGGACAATTTTTCTAACAGTGGGTAATTCTGCTCCACTCCCCTGAGAGCCCGACTGATGTAGTAAACTGGCCGTTGGACAGAGTCGTCTTCCCTGATAAGAGTTGCACTGACTGTGGTGCTTGACACGGCTAAATAGAGAAAGAGGGGTTTGCCTGTGGTTGCCTGTAAAAGGAGGGGGGGTTGGCCATGCACTGTTTCAACTACTAAAAAGCCTCTTCAGATTCGGTCGTCCATTCAAAAGTTTGCCGAAGAACTTTGAAGAAGGGGAGGCACTTATCCGTTGCACGGGAGATGAAGCGATTGAGGGCGGTAACTCGGCCAGTGAGTCTTTGAACCTCCTTAACCGTTCTGGGTGACTGTATTTCAATCAAAGCCTTGATCTTTTCAGGGTTGGCCTCAATGCCTCGCTGACTGACTATGAAACCCAAAAAACTTCCCAGATCCTACGCCAAAGGTGCACTTCTCCAGGTTGAGCTGCATTTGGTACTTTCGTAGGGTGACGAAGGTCTTTCGCAGGTCGGTCAGATGATCAGTGGAGAGTTTGCTCTTGATTAGCATGTCATCGACATATATTTCCATATTCCGACCTATCTGATGATGGAAGACAGCATTGACCAACCGTTGGTAGGTGGCCCCAGCATTTTTCAGTCCAAATGGCATCACACTGTAATGGTAGGTACCACGGTCAGTAATGAAGGAGGTGTGCTCCTGGTCAGATGGGTGCATCAAGATTTGGTTGTACCTAGAGAAGGCATCCATGAAACTGAGCATTTGATGACCGGCTGTGGCGTTGACCAGCAGATCTATGCGAGGCAGAGGGTAGCTGTCCTTGGGGCAAGCTCGGTTGAGGTCAGAGTAGTCGACACAGAGTCGCCATTTACCATTGTTTTTGTGAACCAGAACCACACTCGATAGCCATCTGGGGTAATCCACATTGGTGATAAACTGTGCCTCAAGGAGTTTGTCTACTTCAGAAGCAATAAGGTTATTGTGTTCCGGGTGAAAGACGGGATGCTTCTGGCGGATAGGTCGGAAATGGGGCTCAACACTGAGACGGTGGCTGATGAAGGAGGGATCAATACCCGACATATCGGAGTGCGTCCAGGCAAACACATCGTTGTGCTCAATCAGGAGGGCGATGAGGTTGGTCTTGGCTTGGGGGGACAGTTGGCTACCAATCTTGGCAGTTTTTGCCGGGTTGGTGGGGTCGATGGAGACCTCGATAAGCTCTTCCACTGGTTTCCCCCTGACCAGCTCATCCTCGTCCCTGACGTCAAGTCCTTCAATGATCATAATTTTCTTAAGCTTAACTTCTTTAAGTGAGGCCACATAGCATTCTCTGGCTACAGTTTGCCCTCCCCTGACTGTGCCGACCCCTAGATCGGTGGGGAACTTGACGGCAAGATGGAAGGTGGAGGTGATGGCTTGGAAGGCATTTAAGGCGGTGCAGCCAAGGATGATGTTGTAAGCAGAGGGGCAGTCGACAACGAGGAAGGTGAGTAGCTTTGTGGTCTGCCTGGGGTACTCGCCAATTGTGATAGAAAGATCGATAGAGCCGATGGAGGTCACCCAGTCGCCAGTGAAACCGACCAAAGGGGTTTGGAGGGAAGACAGACTTTCTTCCCCAATCTTGAGCTGGCGGAAGCAGTTGAGGAAGATGATGTCTGAAGAACTGCCGTTGTCGACGAGAACTCGTCTGACCTTGTAATTGGAGAAGAGGGCACAAATGAGAGAGAGTTTTCATGAGGATAACGGATGCCTGTGCTGTCGGCGTCTGTAAAGGTGATAGGCTCGGTCCACTGCCTGGGGTGTTTGGGGGGTCGATCCAATGTGGCAACTTCTTTGTCTGAGCCTTGCCTTATTTTCCTGAGTTCTACCCGCTAAGCCGAGCGGGATGGTCCTCCACACGCAAGCCTGTCGAAAATAACTCTGATTTCTCCAACAGGTGGGGCGGGATTACCTTGGGCCCAAGGTTGCTGTAGAGGGCGATCATGGCCTTAGTTAGGTTGGGCTGGCTGCCGAGGAGGGGTGCGTCGGCGGTTATTTCTGACAGGCTCAGTTCTTTGCCTCTGCTGAGGACGAGTATCCATGAACCGGCTAAGACGTCCCTGACGTATTAAGGTCTCGACTTGATCTTTGAGGTTGACACAGTCATCGGTATTATGGTCGTGGTCTTGGTGAAAACGGCAATATTCGGACTAGTCTTTCCGATTGGAGGGGATTCGTGATGGTTGGGGCCATTTGAGGGGGTAATCCCACTAGATCTGATTGAGAACTTGTTCTATGGGGGAATTAAGGGGTGTGTATCACTCGAACCGGCCGGGCGGTCGGGCTGGTGCCGACCGGTCGGCTTGGGGGGGTCGGTCGGTATAATGCGGTGTTTGGTTATTGTACTGGGTGTTTCTGGCTTTTGAGTCTTTTCGCTTTTCTCGGGAGGTCGGGTTTTTTGTTATAGGGTCTTGGCGAGCGGCTAGGGAATCTTCTGCGTTCATGTATTTTTGGACTTTGGAGAGTAAGGCTGCCATGGAGGGGTTTTTAGAGAGGGAGAAGAGGAAATCAGACGACCGTAGTCTGGCCATGAAAGCCGTAAGGATGACCTTATCATCGTTTTCCTCCACCTGCAAGGCTTTGGTGTTAAAGCGGGTAACGAAACTGCGCAGGGACTCCCCCTCGGTCTGGTAGATGTTGAGGAGTTGGGTTGCCGGACGGCATTGGCGTTGGGCTCCAATAAAATGGCTGATGAAGGAGTCACTGAGATGCTGGAAAGTGGAGACGGAGTCTGCTAGTAACTGGCTAAACCATAGCCGAGCTGACCCCTTTAGTGTCACGGGGAAAGCTCGACACATGATCTCGTCAGGGAATGCATGGAGGATCATGAGGGTTCTGTAGGTCTCCAGATGGTCGACTGGGTCTGTCGTACCGTCAAAAGAGTCGATGGTGGGCATTTTGAACTTGGGGGGTAGAGGCTTGTCCCGGATGGAGGCAACAAATGGTGAGTTTGCTGTGGTAGAGGGTTTATGTTGGATGTTCTGCATGACCCCTTGGAGTTGGAACTTCATGGCTCGGAGTTCTGCATCCCAGAGAGGGATGTAATCACCACCGGAAGACAGCGGGGTTTGGACGCTACTAGCTTCCCCTTCAAGGGCTGGTGCCAGGACCGATGGATGCGGGGGTCGGGGTGGTGGATTTATATTTAGGAGGAGGAGGTTGCAAGCCTTCCAAGTTGGGTGGATAGAGCTGCGGGATAGTATGGCTCAGGGCTCGTTCTTGGTTGGGTGGAATATCTGGAGGTGGTGGAGGAGGCATATGAAGGTTTCTTTGGAGTAGGGCATTTATCAGGGCTTGGTTTTGCTCGGCCATGCGGTTAATGCTGTTGGTAAGCCCGATGAAATAATGTGGTGGGTTGTTTGGATTGGGGGGGTCGACTTGATGGTCGGCAGCATTTTGGTGAGAAGCCATGGATCTAGTCATGACCATACACTTTGATGGGTAGCAGGAAAGGGTTATTGGAGCAGGGTCTCTGGGGACAGTGAGCACAATTGGCGCGCGGAGCAAAGCATTCCCACAGATGGTGCCAACTGATGATACAGTTCGTGATGGTAGAACGGGTCAGACTGATCCACGCTTCTTAAGCCTATGTCCGAATGACCAAGCCCACTTGAAGACCTGCACAAGAGTTCAACGGGGAACGGGAAGTCCTCCAGCGAACCCTCCGACGAGCAAGTTAGAGAGAGAAGTGGAGTATAGAGATGGAATAGAGATAGAAAAGCTTAACCTTCTTCTTGTCTTCAATGTCTGCTTATATCCTTTGGTAATCATTTCGTTGTCCCTTCCAACCTGTCACCTTGGCCAAAAGTCTATGCTGTAGCTCACCTTGTTCAGGGTGAGGGCGTGCTATCCCGACGGAGAGGTGTTGTCGTAATAAATGCTGTAAGGGGCTGCGTTAATGGTGATGTGCAGTGGCAACAACTTTGCAGATATTTGTCTGCTGATGTGGCTTGCCCTTTGCCTGCCACGTGTCTGAATATCATTAGTCCTTCATGTCATGTTGACTTCCAGCTGTGTTGGGCCTTATCAGTTGGGTTATGTATTGGGCCCTAAGTGGTAGGTTTAGGTTGTTCATAGTGGGTTATGGCCTTTATGGGCCTACCCACGTCACCTTGTAATCTAAGTCATCCTTTGTAACTTGGCTAAAAATATAGTTTATTGACTAAAAATAGATCCACAAAAAAGCAAATGTAAACAAAAACAAAAACAAAAACAAAAAAGTTTGAAACAAACATGGGCACGAGTATTCCATTCTGCTCACAAGAAAGGGGTTTGAAAGGTTAAGATAATTTTAATATTTTACGTGGTTATGATAATAACTCCACCATGCCATTTTCAGATGAAAGGCATGGATGACAACTTGTTGATTTAAAAATGTTAAAAAACAAATTTTTAACAAACTCTTTTGGACTTGATTTAAATTTGATTACAATTTAAAAGGGAGTTACAAACCTGGCCATCATGAGGTAAAGCAAGGGCAGTGGTAAGAAGAGAATAGCCAGTGAAAACACCAATCTCCAATGTCTTCTTCGCATTCATTAATTTCAAAAGCATAGACAAGAACAATCCTTCATCAGGGGGCACACTTATCTCCGCTCTACAATTCAAATTGCAATTTTGTTATACTTTAAAAATAAAATTAAAAAAAAGATTAACTAAATAAGTTGTGAATAAACAAAATTCTGAAAACATTTTTTTTTAATGTTTCATTGGCCACTACTTGGAATCAAGACCATTCAAAAATAGTAGTGCTTTGTGGCCAAAACTTGTAGTAACAAGTTAACTGGGCCGACTAAAAAAAAACAAAAAATCTTTTTCAGTCCATGATTTAGACTGTATGGTACTATCCAGGCTTGTGGAGATCATCACGGATTTCATTACGATGATCCGAACAATTCATTTTATAGAGTTCCTTGTGTAAATCATTTACAAAAAAATAAAACAAAAAAGATAAGTCGATTTAATAAATGCGATAAATTGAATAGGTTATGATTATCAAATTAACCTAAATTATTTTGTGAATGATATACACAAAGGACTTTACAAAATGAACGGTTTGAATTATCGAAACAAAACCCATGGTTGGCTCCATAGATCCGGACAACACCCTCTAGTCCATGATTTTGACTAGATAGAAGCTAGGTCCAATAATTTAATTATAAAAATATATTTCAGGTTGCTTAAAATGATGTTTGAGTTTATTAATATTGTCAACCATATGTGAGCAAGTCCCTAACCTGTCGCCATATTTCTTGAATGTTGCATCTCTTAGCCTCTTGAGCTGCTCATGTTCTCTTGGGTACGCACTGGTATCCAAAATGTACTACTTTACCAAAATTGAATCAATAAGCAAAATGATTGATATAAATCCATAAAATGGTGTTGCCCACATCTAAAACAAGTTTATTTTTTTGATGAACAAATAAAAACTTCATTGATGAGAATCAATGTACATAGTATACTAAGACAAACATCAATCAACTGGGGGGACAAGTGCACAAAGTATCAAAGCAAAAACTCAACAATATATGAAAAAGGAAAGCATGTTGTTTGGCAGTAAGAGTGTATATATTGTTTGCTTCGGTCAGGTTTTAGAAAGAATTTGGGACCAAAATTTTTCTCTACATTTGTATTTAGCAATAATCAAAACATACCATTCATCATTGTTAACCGCGCCAAACCGTTATGCATTGTGGCAGTTTGGTCACATTTTGAAATTTCATGTTTTTAATGAACAATCAATTAACAATATAATGAAAATACAAAGTTATAAACTCAGTTTTCCTGTTCAAAATATTGACACCACCAATATAGTTTGATTCTCTCATTTAGATGAATCAAAGGTATACTTTACACGATAATGCTACAATGGTCAAATTTGTTTAAATGAGCGAAAACGGGTCCTCAAGACTATTTAAGCTACACCCTCGGTCCTACAAAGTTGGTGACGTAACATTCTTCATCCAATTTTGGACTAACATTAATTATTGGATTAAATTGAGAAAAATTAAGAAGGTAAGGAAAGTGGGAAAAAAACTTTAAAGGCCAAAATTGAAAAACCCTAAAACATAAGGGGGCAATGTATTTACTAAGGGAGTCAAAATGTAATTTATCCTATCAATAATGCTACAATTACCACATTTATATACAATAAAGTGCTTTCCACCTCATGTGTTACCATTGTGTTAGTAACATATATGAAAACTGGGGCCATATAATACGTTGATGATATATGTATGGATAACAAAATATTTTATGGTGTGTGTACGGGGAGGAAATAATTATCCTCGTATAATCCTGTTGACCAAGTCCACGCTCCTCCGTACGACGTCGCTTTATCACCTGAAAACACAAACGTGAGCTAGCCGGCGGGTGTGTGTCGGAAACCTCTCCGATGCCTAAGTCAGTAAGCTTGACAAATAGACAAAGTTTTATGCTCTCAGAAAGAATTATGTTCAATTACCTCCTCCAAGGTGATGTTTGTGAGCTTTTATAAGTTTCGAGTAGCATAATCCTAGTAGGACTTGTATTTCTCCATGCAGAGTCCTCCTAGGATTCATACTCCTAAGGATAATGCTTATCCTTTTACACCCTCCCCCACTGTTTAAACCAAGTGGGATGGTTTTCACTTTGGCCGAACTACTATATGACCGAAATAAGCTTGTCTACGCAAAGCCACAGAGAAGGCCGAACTGTCCTTAGCTCGGTCTTCTCCTCCAACTCCTTATCTCGGCTTTCCCCTGTTCGACCATGGTGTGTTTAGATCAAACTCCCAAGTAGCAAGTTCTGACCGACCTAACCATAATATGTCACGACCGGACTAAATGCAAGGCCGGACTTACTTCAAACTGCCACCGGACCGGAGTTGCTTTGCACATTCTTGAACCGGAGTAACCGCACCTCTCCTAGGCCGGAATAACTTCACTTCTCCTGGGCCGGAGTACCTATACCTCTACCGGGCCGAAATAACATTACAGCTTCTTACCGATTCCTTCACACTTTGGGCCGCAGGGCCCAACTCACAGCTCGGCCCAATTCTTTCCCAAAAATTACCCTCTCAATTGCCCCTTAATTTCATCTGCATAGCATGATTGAGATTACAAAACCTTCAACCGAGCTGAAGTTCTACAAGCCTTTCCAACCGAGATAAAAACCCTTCAGTGTATCCAGCCGAGCTAGTTTTACTCCGAACTCTGCTTTATCCAGTCAAACGTCTCTTCAATCGCGACTGTAACGCTTCCCTTTCCTTTGCCACGTGGCGGGCTCTGATAGGCCGTGAGCTGTCATCACGCCGCCTTCGTACTTCGAACTTTTTGAATAGTCCCGCCCCTTTTTACCGCGTTTTTTTCTCTCTCCTCTTTCACAAAATAACCTTTCTTTCTCTTGAATCATTCACCTTCCATTCTTCATATACTCTCTCTGTGTTTTTACTGTTCTTCCGTTGCTTCTGAAGACTGACTTTGCTACCACTTTCCCATCATCAGATCCCCCTTCTTCAATCCTGGTAAGTAAACTCATTTTGCTTCCTTTATCTTGCTTTCGTATCTGTATAGCTTTGTTTTGTATGCTTTTTGCAAACATTTTCTTTCATTTGACGCTTCGCTTCTGTACTTTTATGAAAATAATAGCAGAGCTCATACGTGCATGAACTTCTGTAATATATATATACCTCCACTTAAACATAGGAGCTAACAACGGAAACAATAGAAAATTTGGCTTACTTTAAATACAACAACAATTCAAATCAATACTAATACATTTATAAATCCACTACAACATCCAATCTAGACATGATACCACCTTAAGCTCAACGTCAAAATAAAGGAAACGTTAAAAATTTGTGGCTCATGATTAATTTCATTAGATACTTAAGAAAAGCAAGGAAATTAATACATCACAAATTTGAGAATAATTCTGGATATTTCTCGCGGACTTCGGTTTCTTGTTCCCATGTCGCTTCCTCCACGCCATGATGATACAATAACACCTTAACTAGAGGGATTGTCTTATCCCTCAACACTTGTTCTCGTGTATCAAGGATTTGGATTGGCTTCTCTTCGTAAAATACATCATCACTTACTTCAATTTCCGTCCAATCTAACACATGAGAGGGGTTGAGTTCATATTTACAGAGCATAGACACATGAAACACATTATGGACTCTTGAAAGCTGAGGTGGTAATGCAAGACGGTACGCCACTTCCCTAACTCGTTCAATGATATCAAAGGGGCCAATAAACCTTGGCGATAACTTTCCACTTCGGCCAAACCTGATTAACCCCTTTCTAGGGGAGATCTTCAAGAACACCTGATCACCGACTTTGAAGGATAAGGGTCGTCTTCAAGAACCCCTCTCTTCCTTCCCGAAATGAATTCTCTCTTTAATGGCCTCCACTTCTGGATCATCTAGTTGTGCTTTATTTACTCTTGCAACAAAGGTCGGTTATGTGATGGTAGCAATGAGGGTAGCTTGTCCCGGAGATTCACTGAGTTGTAGAGCAAATTCATTGGCATCCCCCATCATCTTCCATTCATTCAACGCTAAATTGGCTATTGTACTTATTGACTTTCTACGCAAAGCATCCGCTGCTACGTTGGCTTTACCAGGGTGATAGTATATCTCAAAATCATAGTCCTCTAGGAACTCCATCCATCTTTATTGACGTAGGTTTAAGTCTTTCTGGGAGAATAAGTACTTGAGGCTTTTGTGGTTATAGAAGACTTCAAATTTCTCACCGTAGAGGTAGTGTCTCCACAACTTCAAAATGAAAACAACAGCGGCGAGTTCTAGATCATGAGTCGGGTAATTTCTTTCATGGGTTTTCAATTGGCACGAACCATATGCCACCACCCTTTCCTCTTGCATTAAAACACATCCCAATCCCTCTCTGGAGGCATCACAATACACCGTATAGCCTAGCCCTCATTTCGGAATGATAAGAATTGGAGTGGTGGTTAATCTAAACTTTAATTCTTGAAAAGATTCTCATATGCTTTGCTCCATTCAAACTTCATTCCCTTACGGGTCAACCTAGTTAAGGGCGACGCTAAGGAAGAGAAATTCTTTACAAATTAGCGGTAATAACTAGCTAAACCCAAAAAGCTATGAATTTTCGAGGCATTCTTAGGCTGCTCCCAATCTAGCATGGTTTATATTTTTGAAGAATCCACCATAACTCCGTCTCCCGAAACTACGTGACCCAAGAACTTCACTTCCGAAAGCCAAAATTCACACTTCTCATATTTAGCATATAACCGGTTCTCCCTAAGAAGTTGTAAGGTGGTACGAAGGTGCTCTTCATGCTCCTCTTCGGAAGGTGAATAGATAAGGATATCATCTACAAAGACAACCACAAATTTGTCAACGAACTCCCAAAAAATCCTATTCATTAGACCCATGAATGTGGCTGGGGCGTTGGTCAACCCAAAAGGCATAACCAAGAAGTCATAATGACCATATCAGCTACAAAAGGTAATTTTTGGGATGTCCTTTTCTCTAACTCGAATTTGGTGATAACCCGACCGTAAATCTATCTTGGAGAAACAATGAGAGCCCTTAAGTTGGTCGAAGAGATCATCTATTCTAGGCAGGGGGTATTTATTCTTAACCGTAGCTTGATTCAATTTATGATAATCTATGCACAATCTCAACGACCCATGCTTCTTCTTTGCAAACAAAGCCGAGGCTCCCTAAGGTGACGTGCTAGGGCGTATAAAGCCCTTACTAAGTGTAGACACCCCATTTTTGACCGACCTTAAGACTCAGATGTCACCGATTGAGCGCTTGGTGATGTTGCATAATGTGCTTGTTCAGAAGTTTCAGAGTTGCGGCCGTGAGCCCTGCCTCCAGACTTCCGAACCCTCTTTTGTACTTTGCCTCGGTTTGCGAACCAGGCTCGGTTTTCTTTGTTTCTTTTCCTGAGGGAAGGGGGAGGTCCCGTAGACCATCTCTCAATGTCCGTAGGCTACATTTGGTGGCCGTAGGCCATTTTTCCCATTTCGGAGTCCGGTTTCCGGTTTTCGGAGCCGTCAGGCTGTGTGCCTCGGTTCGGGGCCGCTTAACCATCTCCTATTGCTCCGATTTTTGGCATACTTCCTATTTTCTCCCTTTTGAGGGACACAGGGGTCTGAGAAACCCACTTCGTGGCCGAACGCCACTTTCGGTGCTTAACAGCCCATTTTCGGGACCCCGAACTGCGTGTTTTGGCCCCCGGGCATTCGTTTTGCAACGGTTTTCGTTCATTTTTGGCAGGTACCTCTGTTTTATCACAAGGAAGGTCACTGAAGGGTGGGAGGCCAGCAATTGTTGCAGCAACCAGTTATACATCCCCCGACGCCCTCCGGCGCCCGTTTTTCGCACTTCCGGGCTAATGTTGAACACCTTGGGCCCATTTTCTCGAACTTTGAACCACATATTTGTGATGTACACACATGGGAGGACCCTAAAAGTTGGTGGCCGGCCATTAATGCTACTTGACCCTTTTGACCCCCTCCTTCCGGGCTAATGTTGAACCCTTTGGACCTTTTTTCTCGAACTTTGAACCACATATTGTGATGTACACACATGGGAGGACCCTAAAAGTTGGTGGCCGGCCATTATTGCTACCTGACCCTTTTGAACCCCTCTTTCCGAGCTAATGTTGAACCCCTTGGACCCACTTTCTTGGAATTTTAACCACAGGGTTGTGTTGTAAACACATAGGAGGGCACTACCAGTTGGTGGCCGACCAGAAAATCTTCTTGACCCTTTTGACCCCTAGCCGGCCGGCTAGGGGGTGTGGCCGGCCGGCCACCTGCAGCAAAAGTACCTGGCCGGCCGTGTTCCTTGCACTGTGCACTTTACAGCTGTGGGGCAATATCCCCCAGAAAAGATATTTATCCGGGGGATATTTTGTGGGGGAAAGTTTCTCTCCTTTTCCCCCACGTTTACACCCCCTTTTTGGCTTATATAGCAAGCAAGATATATCCTTTGTTGGGGTTGAAAAACTTCACCTTCAAGCATCCATACAAAAAGCCATCTTTATCCCTCTCATTTTCTTAAAAAACCTTAAGTCCCTAAGCACCATTTCTTCTACACCACCAAGCTCTACCACCACCACCGCATTTTCAGCAACAAGGAAGGTTTCTCAAAGGCAAAAGGAGCCGCAAATTGGTCCAAGAAGCAACAAAAGTTTTAGTCTTCAAGGGTAAGTGATACTTCTACTCTTTTGACCCTTTTTCTTGATCCATTTGTAAGCCCCACTTGCTTTTTGTTTCAAGCTCCGGCCCTAACTGAAAAGGGCCCTCTTTTGAGCTCATCTTCACTTTTTATTAAGGGCTCAACCCTGTTTGAGCTCTCCATGATGCACTTGCTTCATTGATCCTCTTATATGTCATAATTTTGCATGCTATTTTTAGCCCGTGAGTAATCTGTTTTTGAGCATGTTGTAAACTGATATTAGGCTCATTTTGAGCCCCTCTTCAACATTGAAGAAGGGCTCAACACCATTTGGGACTTCCATGTTGTACTTACCTTTATACTCCTCTTTTCTTCCCCATTCTTGCATGCAATGGCAGCCTACCATGCTTTTGTTTTTTGCCATTTTACAGTTCTGAAAAGGTGTTTATTTTGGTCCATTCTTCATTTTTCATTTAGGTCCTTTCATGGTTTGAGACCTCCATATGCCACTTCATGTTATATCTCTCTTTTATTCCCCATTCTTGCATGTTCAGTTAGCCTACCATGCTTTTGTTTTTGGCCATTTTACAGTTCTGGAAATAATCTTATTTTGGCCCATTCTACATGTTTTATTAAGGGTCTTTGGCTGTTTGGTGATTATTTTGCATACTTCATGTTATAGCCATTTTTGAGCCTCATTTTGCATTGCATTTTTAGCATGTTTGTATATTGATTCGAAGCCTGCCATATACTGTAAATGTTCATATTTTTGGTCCCTCTTCAATGTTGTAGAAGGAAATTTTTCAGTTTGGGTTTTGCTTATATCACTTGCTTCATTACCCCTCTCTTGGCCCCTATTCTTGCATGCCATTTTTACCATACCTATGCTCGCTGTTTGGCCATGTTTATAACTGTGAAAGTGCCTTTTCTGGGACTGTCTAGCTTCTGTCTTTGCATTGCATGTCCATGTTGTGCCGGTTTGGCATAGCTATAGGCCATTTTGGGTGCCTAAATTCGCATTTCGGGACAATTCCATGCATTTCATGTCATTTCGCCTCATTTCGGGACTGTTTTCCCCCATATTTTAGTGCTGAAATTCCATTAGAATGATTGCTATCCATTTCATGTCATTACATCACATTTTATCATCGCCTCGGTTTGCGTGCCCGTGTGCACGCATTTCGAGGCACTTCATTTTCATCTACCGGCATCCGACGTGAGTGTGGCTGAGGCTCACTCATGTTGGTATAAGCCCATTTGTCATTTCCATGTCATTACATCACATTTTATCATCGCCTCGATTTGCGTGCCCGTGTGCACGCATTTCGAGGCACTTCATTTTTATCAGTCGGCATCCGAT